TTTCCTTCCAACTGTCACCAAGTCCTTGCTCATAGGGGGTTATCTGATTTTGGGGGGTTTTCTCTCATTTTATTCAGATTTGTTCAAATTCAACAGGCTGTCAACAGTTCTCTTATAAGATATACTTTGAGTTAATCGTTAATAGTGTAGGGGTTTACACATTCACGCAAAAAGGGTCCACAGTTCGATCTCAGCAGGCAAATAAAAGATCACCTCAAAGTAGCTTTTACTATTTTTATATCAACCTTTTTTATTCTTGAAATAAACAGTCATAAACAAAACAAAGACCTTTTCTTTCTAAAATTCTGGTCAAGCATTGAAAGCTTTTTCCAGATGGCAAAAATTGTAAGCCGAGTGAATAAAATCACCGAACACTTTATTAGGAAAACCACCGTAGAAGATGTTGGAAATTTTGTCAATTACGTTTTAAATATAACTTCTTCTTTTTGTTTCCATTATATCATTGTCTACGTTTTAGATCAGGCATGTGACCCGACCCAGAGGGCAGATGTGGCTGCTGTGGTAATGCAGGAAGGCCTGGCCAACCTGGTGCTCGTGACACCTGCCATGACGCTGCTTCGTGCAAAAGTGGAAGTCACCATTCCCCGTAAGAGAAAAGGAAGCTGCACACAGCACGACAAGGTAAAAGTGATTTATAGGCAACTGATCAGCTGTTAGCGAATCGGGAGCTCTAAAAGCAAGCAAACGGGAATGAAGTGACGTTTTGAAAAGGGCACAGTGGCAAATCTGAATATGAAGATACAGCTAAAATGTACACAGTGTGCCAACCCAATTATAATTTTCATATTGCGTGAGTGTTTTGGTGTAGATGTCATGGGAGTTAAGAGCTTACTGACTAAAACAAAGTAGGCAGATATACATATTCAAATATATTTAAATGTTTTTAAATGGGATTGAGTGGAGTTCAAGTGGATTACATTTCTCTTTAGCCTCAGGAAGTCAACCTCAGTTTTTTTGTTTGTTTTCTGTGATATTTCTGTGATAGTGTAACAAAAAATTTGGTTGTCCCCTTTCTTTGGGGATGTAACACTGAGAGAGTTTTTCATCCTGTGTGCTTACTGTCAAAGTGTCTGTTTGCAGGGACTGGAGAAGTTTTATGAAGCTGTGATGCAAGCCATTCTCCGTCACATCAATTTTGATGGTAAGGCTGTTGTGTGCGCGTAGACACTTCTGCCTTTTTTTTTTAACTTATTGTAACAGTTCCAGTTTAATGTTTGCTGTGAAGCTTTCATTCATGGTGATGTGCACCATTGTGTTTTGTTCCTGAAACTGTTTATTAATGTTATAACTTAAGAAGACTTTTCACTCTCACTGGATATTTTTCAGTGGGATCATACATGTTTTAGAGTAGTAACCTCTATTTTCCTGTAAACATAATACCTTTTATTAAATTGCTTCTGTGTTTTACTACATATATAAATCTAGACAGATGTGGATGTAAACTGCTGGTTCAGGTAGTTTCTCTTTACAGAAGATATCATTTAAAAAGAGTTGAGATTTAGATTTTTTTCTTTCTTACTTTCTGCCAGTTGTGAAGTGCATCCTGGTGGCCAGCCCAGGCTATGTGAAGGACCAGTTTACGACCTACCTCTTTAATGAGGCGGTACGGCAGGACAACAAGATCCTGCAGGAGAATCGGCCCAAATTCATGCTGGTCCACTCATCGTCAGGTCATAAGTACTCACTCAAAGGTAGGAGCTGCTGCCACTTGACAGCGAAGTTAAATTGATCTCATCATAAGGTGAAAACTCACTGAGACAACTGTTGTTTTGCAGAAGTCCTTTCTGACCCCACTGTGACAAATAGGCTGTCTGATACGAAGGTGACTATGCATCCTGTGATTTAAGAGTTTGTGCATATTTGTGCATATGATTGCTAAACTGTGCACACAGCTTTTTAAACTCTGAGCAAAAAACTATTTTTTTTATTATAAATTGTATTAATCTGTGTGGAATTATGAATTATTTTCACTGGAGACATAAATAATTTTGACCTGTTGTTTTGTATCTTGCTCCTCAGGCAGCCGGAGAGGTGAAAGCCCTGGAGGACTTCTATAAAATGCTGCAGCATGAGCCTGACCGAGCCTTCTACGGGTGCGTGCTTGATGATGGAATGTAACAGTTAACTTATATTGTTAACACTGATTATAAACAACCTGCATATCTTTGCATCCTCACAGCCTCGCTCATGTGGAGAAAGCTGCTGAGGCCCTCGCTGTGGACACCTTGTTGGTAAGCGACAAGTTGTTCAGGTAGGTGTGCATGAGGGATGCTTTTGACAGGCAGTGTTATTCTGCCTCGTTGCTGCTGTTGTTTATGTGTAACATGTTCACTAACATACTGATGAGTACGTTCAAAGAACTTTTCCTTTCTGTGTTTTTATTTTTGTCATATCAGTATAACGTTACTAGGGTGGATGCACATACTGAACACAGCCAGGATCAAATAATGACGTCAGCATATGTACATGTATACGCTCCGAGCAGTCAGTCTTTAGACTGCTCTTCTTTAAACACTTGATTTATGACAGCTTTCTGGGACTTCTATGTTATAAAAAAAAGAGGATATCCTTAAAATCGTCATTACGGGCCCACAGTTCTCCCAATTTCAATGCTTAATTTGTTTTGTCAGACATCAGGATATCCCCACCAGGAGTCGCTACGTTCGCTTGGTGGACAATGTGAGAGACAATGGTGGCACTGTCAGGTAACTTTGTAAATACTATGTTTGTAGACTTAAAAACTGAATTTTTGTTATGTACTATATGTGACAATTTTGTTAAAAGTAGAAATGCAGGCTCCTGTAGATTTACATGCTGGCTAGAACATGTTTAAAGTACTTTGGAAATCATCAGGCTAATGACTTTTTCTCTATTTTCCATGCAGAATATTCTCAAGCCTTCACGTTTCGGGTGAACGTAAGTTATTGCTCCCTTCCTGTAGTTGAAGTTAACTCTTTAGCTCTCTCAGGCTCTAAGGAGCTGTCGTTTTTCAACTTGATGTCCTGTCACGTTTGTTTTCAATGCGTAAAAAAATCCCCCATAGATTCCCATTACTATCACTACAGCCACAGTACTGATACCAACAGTGCCATCCTTACTCCCTCAGTTTGACAAGTAACTTCTCACAGTCCTGTCCCTCGCTAAAAGCTGAAGTAGTTGAAGTTCATGAACCTGAACAAGACTTTAGGAAAACTGCAACAGCACTAAAGTATTGAACTGCTGTCATTACGTTAACATTAGTCGGTTAACTGTTAGCAATTACTTGCGCCTAGGGGTGACAATCTGGTCTTCTTCTATTGCTGGTCCCAGATCTGGATATATTGGAGGGTTGGGCCACAACCTAAAAATGCTCTTGTTGTTCATATGTGAACCTTACAGTTGATGTTAATATACAGTTTTTGAACTACATCAGGCAACTTCTAAAAAAATGCCTCTTAACTTTTTTAGCATTTTCGTCTGGATTTGATTTCACATGAACATTTGCAGTGGATTGCATAGGATTTTTCTTTAATCTGATACCATCATGGTTTAAATCCATGTCTGCTAATTTGTTCTCCTCTTCTGCACTGGTTTTGTTGATGTATAGCTACATCACTTAAGCCTCAAAAAACTGTATCTGGCCTGTATGGTCATCCCTGTCGGAGCACCACTGAAACAAATGGGAGCATTTCTGTGCACCTTTTTTTCTGCAGGGTTTGTTACTTAACATGAAATCACTAATAAGAGTAAAATAATGAAAAATAAAGCGTAGGATTAATTTACCGCTGTCAGTTGGACTCAGTGAATTGATGACGCCACACACATAAAGTGATAATCTCATTCTTTATTGATGTCTTACTCAAATAAGAAGTCAAGAATTTGTGCTACAACTGCACCGATTGGATTTTTATAATTAAATATAACGCCAGTCCGCAGTACAGGATGTGTCACCTTTTGATTTATTCTGGACTGTCTCACCAGAACTGACTCAGCTGAGTGGGGTGGCTGCCATATTGCGGTTTCCCATCGCCGACCTTTCAGACGCCGAGGACAACAGTAGCTCAGATGAAGACTGATCCACACAAACACCCCAGACTTCTCCCGATACCCGCCCTCAGTTTTGCAGATAAACATGGGAATGTTCAATGTGTTATGAAACAACGAGTCGTGAGAAATTCCACCCCTGTAACAGCCACATCTTTTACAAATCAAATGAACATGCCTGATTTTCTAAAGTGGCCATAAATTCACTTAATTTTGATGCAGTTTTGATGGTTTTTAAGCTAAAGACAGAAAATCCTCAATTCACAAGAAGGGCAGTAAGATGAATCTAACATTTTTTTTTTTTTTTGCCAAGTCACAAAAACCCATTCATTTTAAATGATAGCAATAGCAAAATCAGTGACTTCTTGAGTCAAGTGTACATACAATATATCTTTCTTGCAATTAAACAGCAGAAGCATGCAACTACTCCTGTTATTTCTCTCGTTTATCACCATTCATGGGTTAAATACAGATTGGACCAAGATATAAAAATAGATATTTTCTTTCTCACAGTTATTTTTTTTCTTTCATTTAAAAAACTATTTAAGGGCATTACACCCCCAAACTACTGCATATCGACCTCTATAAATCAAGTATGTTCAGGATTTTCAATTAGATACAATGATGTGATTTACAGTTAGAACACTGTAGGTTCCTCTTATTCTTCTTTGGCAAAATGTCAAATTATGAACTTCCCCTGTGAAGAATTTCAGCAGCTAGGACTAAAGTGCATTTTTTAAATGTAACTTTAAGAAAAAAACACAATTTGCTTCTGTATATTAACTTCATATTTATTGACTTTCCCTTTTAATTTAGCTTTTTATGTAAACGTTACATTTAAGAATAGGGGTTTTTTGTGGGGACTTTTTCCCCCTTTGCATTTTTCAACCTTATTTTATACACATCAGTATTTAATTGTCAGATTTATTGAAGCACTTCTGCTTCATTATCTGAATAAGGGGCTGTGATTAAATAAGTGTGAATGTAACTTTTAACTAAAGCTAGCTACTTTAGATAGGCTAGCTAAGTTAGCTAACGTAGTTACGTTACCTAGAGTTGGGTTATCTAAAGCTAGCTAAACTAGTTAGCTAGAAAATTAAATAAATTGATAAGTTGGGTAATTAGAGAAATTATACATTGAAAATTAAATGGGAAGGTAAATAAATGGGGGAATACAAATGTAAATATGGAAATAAATCAAAACATTTATTTTTATATCTGATTTTATAAACGTATTAATGGCTATATTAATTTACAGTAGTTATTTTTGGGCAGTTAATGGCATATTTCTTTAATATTTTAATATATATATCTATAGAGTATTGATTTTGGCAGTTTCGGCCCTCCATATACTCCTCCCTCACTGAATGCTAAATTCAAGTATAGCCTTGACTGCAAGCATGCGTGAACTAGCTGCACTTGGCATCACTCAGCAGGACACTGGTAGCTCTTAATCCAGGCTAAATCCTCCAGTGTGCCCCAGTGTAGGTAGATAATTGAGCAGATAACCATGACATGCATTATCTGGTGGCTGTTGCCCCAGTTGTCAAACAATCCTGGTTTGAAGCGCTCAGGGATCTGGACAATGTTGACAAGCCCTCCCAATAAAGCTAGACAGTCCATGATGACAAAGAGACGCAGGGAATTTGGGCTTCCTACCCCACTGCCATAAACCCGAAACAGGAAGAGGCTGAAACGGAACAAGGCCTGCCAGACAAACGATTGCAGGCGCCGGACGTTAGTGCGGGCAGTGGTGGCACAGTAGATCCCGTGGGCTGACAGGAGGATATAGACCAGCAAGGCAGTCTGTTGCACGATTGGGTAGCAGAGGAGGGTGATATGAATGATTGGAATTGCCCCTGGAGAGATAATGCAAGGTTGCTGTTACTGGCATTGTTGTCAGCATGGTTATTTTTAGTCAACACTAAAAATCGTTTGGTATCTTGTTATTTTTGCTGTTGTTTTTCAGAAGCAAATGTTAACCATTAGGTCGAACTAAAGAAAAAAAATCAGGAGTGATCCAGGGTTCCTCTGAAAAACACAAACTTTATGGCAATCAGTCTGATATTTATTGAGGTCTAGCCTTAAAGTTGTGGATAATCCCATGCACTGTTAAATGAGGCTTGACTTTGACTTTTGGTAGGCTTGAACTATCTTTGCAAAAGACTTTACATGAGACTTTTAGGCTTATTGACCGACTTAAGTGATTCTGGGAGGAACTGTTTAATGTTCAATATCTTTAATCTGCCTGAAGACTTAATTGGTTGTTTTTAAGACCACCACAGTATTTTGTCCATTCTTATTCACGTTCACACTCCTGTCAGAGCTTTGAGGTCTGCTAATCAGACAATCCTCAATACTCCGACATCTAGACTAAAGGGTTAAAAACTCGGTCGTTGGTAGGATTACTGCTAGAGAGAGTTGCTACTCCACATCAAAAGAGGCCAGTTGATTTGGGTCAGGTATTTGACTAGCATGCCTCCTGGGGACCTCCTTGGTGAAGTGATTCAGGTATGTCCCACTGTGAGGAAGCTCTGAGGCTGACCAGAAAAGATTATCTCTTAGTTGGCTTAGGGAATGCCCTGGTGTCTCCCAAGAAGAACTGGAGGAGGTGGGTATGTACTAACACTGGTACCCCTGCAACCTGGACCCGGATAAGAATTAGAAGATAAGAAAGAAATGTGGATGCAGGGGCACCCCTGAATTGTATCAAAACCATAGTATTCAGCATTTCTAAAATTTTGTTGTAACTTATCAATGCTTGTTAATGGCTTGAATTCCAGAAACTTAAAACTTGAAAACATCTTAGTTAGGACCAGTAAGCCCCTCTGGTCCCGGTCTTAGCATCAGGAGCAATCTCTGCGGTTACATTTACTTTCTTTCATCAACCTACCGAGGGTGTTAACTAGGCAGACGCCGACCATGTCTAGGGAGAGCAGCGTGTCGTACACGTGTTCTCCTCCCACGTGGTTCATGAACAAATGGTAGACCACTGATCCCATGGTGGGACAGAGGCAGGCCAGATAGTGGACAACACATATCCAGATGCTGTCCACCTCCTTCCAGGGGATACTAAAAGGTAGCAGCACCAAGAAAAGGAAGAAAGGAATTCCTGAAATGACAGGAAGATGGAAAACGAACATCATTATTTTTCTGAAATCTGCAGAATATAAAAATAATTTGAGTATTTTGAGGTATGTGCCACTGCTGTAGGTTAGTGTCAGCTTAATTTGTAGTGGCATTTTAATCACAGTACCTTAGTGCAACACATAGAAGTACCGCCTGTTGCAGAACAATATGAGGAATTCAATGGACCGAAACGGTTCCTCTGTCTAATTGTAATTTTTACTAGAAATGAGTAGTTGGTTACATACATAGAGAAGCTCGAGCAGCACTCTAATGCTAATATGCTTCACTTCCCCTTAGTAAGAGTGTTAGGCTTAATGAACTTATGGGATAGCCATGTTGAAAATGGGGCAAGAAGACGACAAGGCCTACTGAAGTTCAAGGCTATGAAGTTTCTAGTTTGTGCATGGACCAATTTCCCTTTTTTGCAGTTTTTTTCCATGAGCCAGCCTTGAAAAGTTTCACATTAGAACCAGAACTTTTAAAGATTTCTTAACACATATCTTATTCTACAGCAGCTCAGAATCTGTGCAAAGTTGTCTTTGGATGCTTCACTCAAGATCCGTATGGGCATTTACAGATCAGAGGTGTCGGTCACCTTCAACGGCCCAGTTAACCAGTGGACACTGTCAGGGCTCTGATTCCCAGGGCAGATTACAGCTAATACCCCATATCCTCATTACCCATCCTTATCAAGTGTGTTTGTATCTGGCCATAAGTGAGAGTTGACATGCGTGGCTTGTTTAGTTTGCGGGTTAATACGATTCAAGGTGAGAGAAACTTGCTTTGCGTATAAAGTGTAAAAATATATTTCAATGATGATTCAGGTATAGTAAGAATGGCTGCAATGGCATTTTCTAGTTTAGGTATGTATGCACCAGTTGAAAGAAGCATAACTGCTGGACTTACCGTGTGTGTAGATGTTCCCCAGCTCATTGTGCATGTAGAAGAGGCTCCTTACGCACTCTTCAGCTGTGGACACCGGCCGGTAACCCGTCAGGACATATTTGTTGAACTGAAGGTAAGCAGGAGCCTTTGCAAAGTCCAAGAGCCGCGGTCCTTTGTAAAGCACCATCATGACTTCCTGCAGCCAGTGCCCTCACATTTAGCTTCCTCACCATTTAGATCATAAAAGGGCGCACTCGGGACTCCCGGGCTGGTCTTGACCACGACCAGCCGGAAACTCTGGTCCTCAAAACCCATCATTGGACAGGTATAAGTCCATGCAAGCAACCTGTTGAGCTGGCTAAGTGGCATGATCTTGGACCAATCAGCGCACGGCCTTTATTCCTAAGCTGGGTAATCCCCCAGAAAAAGCCATGTGCACTTCTGCAGCTGCTCCTCCCTTGTAACTGACTCACACCTAACCAGCTTCATGGTTTACGTAACGCACTTTAACAAAACAGAAGTACTTCCCTTATGTACAGTAATGCATGTGTGCTTCTGTCACTCACGTTTGCTGCACCAGGCTCAAGGATTACAAATCCTTACTGGGCGGTTGTTTTCTTCGTGACTCTTAACCAGCACTGACGATTCCTTATTGTGTCCACTTATTATTTGAAAACAGGTTTGCAAATTACAGAGCCAGCAGTGTGTGTAAAACATGCACAGGTCAGTAAAGAAACAACTTCCACTTTGAGGTTCTTTTGGTAGTTTTAATAACTCAAATACTGTACAATAACAAACACATGATTGCCACAAGTAGTAAAAAAGAATTTCTCATGTAAAATAAATTAGATGGAGTTATTGTTTTTAGAAATATTTCAACTAATTTGAGGGGTTATTAAAAATGCTAAACAAAATTACATTTCAGTTGTAAGGATAACAGTAAACATGGGACAAAAATGTGAAGGACAAAACTAAACAAGACACCAAATTATCACTATTATATTATATCACATACAACAACAATTAAGAGAGATTCGATTTGTTGTCTCAGTAGAGCTAACCTGTGGGAGGGGACAAGAATAGAGGAGAAAGGTGAGCAGGCTGGTTAAGATAAATACAGCACATAGGAAAAAACAGGTCTGTTCTCACCTTGATGCCCAGTATCCCCAAAGAAGCCATTCAGTTCATATTTGTTGTCCTTTGCTCCTAAACAGACAGAAATATTCAATTTTATTATTTAATATGTAATAATTCAACAGCCATGCAGCTGGTACACAGACTGAACTAAATCAATCGAATGCAGAAGGACTACAACTATGACGAAATGTACTTTTACAATTAGCTTCCACACTCCTTTTTTTTGATGACATGGTGACAAAATGTCAACACTTGGGAGAAAGACAAGAGCAGAAATATAGACTGGATGGTCTGTGCAGAAGTGTCTAAAGCCTTCAGGCCTTACCTTGTGGCTGAAAATGCAGTTTGAGATGCTGCTGGATGTGTATCTGACGCGGCAGGTCATCGGGTTGCTCGGACACCTGAGTCGTACCCTCTGATTCTGTAGCGGGTGCTGAGTCGAGCGTGAGGCCGGCTGTCCCTTCTAGATCGGGGAAGTGCCGAACATCACCGGGCATCGCGTCAGCTGTGAATGAAGACTCTGCAGGGAGACGGGAGTGGACAGACGAATAGGCCGGGCTTGGGGTGGGGGCTGCAGGAAACACAGCAATTATGAGACAGTGCCATAAAAGGGGGGGGGGCAGAAAAGATGCATGAAAAAAAAATATAAAAAAAAAATATAAATGTAAACCTAAATATCAGTATTATTATTTATTTTTATTACCTTGTGGTTGCACTCGGCCATTTATGTAGCCCAGGTTTTCTGAAATTGTCAGATGAACAGTGACGTGAGCAGAGTGAAGCCACAACAGATACCAATGCAGAATAAGCTTTTATGCCCACCATATCCATCAATGAATCTCCCCACGCCTTCAGCTGCAGGCCCTGGAGTGGGCAGCTCTCCTTTCACTGTGAGTAAAAAAGAAAAGAAAGAGTAGATGAATGAAGCAGGTGATGTTGGGGTCCATATGTTCTGTGAATTTCTCAAGAGATCAGGATTTTCTAGCTGAATTGGACTCAAGCGGCTGGGGCTCATAAGTTAAACCTGCTGCACCTGTTTAAGCCAAAATGAAGATAAATTATTTGTACACTTCAAGGCTGACTGGTTGGGTAATTAATGACAAGTTATGACCAGTTTTACCTTCAGCTGCAGTTTCAAGAGGCTGTGACTGGTAAGCTCCCTGATTATCTGTTAAGAAATTATCACCAAATCATCAAGTTGATCTTATTTTAAACAGTTAAAACAGAAAGCAAAAGAAAAAAACACATAAAACAGATATTATGTACCATATTTCCCAGAAGATTTAGCTTCACCATCAAAACCAACAGCCTGTGGTAGATAGGGACCCTCAGTGCCACCTTAAACAAAGATGAAAACATGAAGGTGATAATTAAACCAGATAAAAGCTGACAGGTACATGGTGGCACCATGTTTGCTCAGTCTCACCATATTTTCCTTTCACATTATGTCCAAGCCCGAGTGGGTCAGGTTGATATTGTGACACAGCCAGACCTGAAAAGAAAAATCATAAAAAGTGAAATACAATAAAAGAACAAATTCATGGATGCTGTGTACGGTGGTTTCTCTCTGTGCACAGCCTGTCACCCTGTGGTTTTCACAGCTCTGGTTTATTTATTCTTTATTGTAGTCTGCATTTTTGTGGACTCATCATTGAGAGCTACATTTAGAAAACCACTGCTGCTTTCATGTCTAAGCTACAGTCAAACTTCAGCCCAGCTTAGCATAAAGATTTCAAACAGGGGGAACACCTACATTAAAAATACTGTATTAAATATTATAATCCTTTTCATTCCTGCATTTTTCCACTTGTGTTTTACAGGAAGGTTTCATAGGTTTGCACTTGTGTTTGAGAGAAGCCATTTACCTGCTCTCTCTTTAAGACCCCATTCCCTAAAACAACAAAAACTTTCTTCTGATTCGCTGACTTCTGCAAGCTTGCTGAGGGGCACCACCCAGTGTTTGTAAGCTGCACGAGCTCTATGATGTTGGCGTGCCGCGAGTATAGGAGATGACTGCGGTAAGAAAAGCGATGAGGTGATATGAGGTCATTTCAAAAGTAGAGGAAAATGTATCATTAGTATCACATGCAAATGAACACATTATGCCGTTTAGTTAGCTTTTAGTTAGCCATCTGTTTGGCAACTAAATTCACCTTAACGACAAGCCAATCAGCATTTTTAAAAGGCTTTTTTTAAAAATGAATTTTATTTGTTTTAATCATATTTACCGGTAGATTTTGTTTCCGGGCCCAGTCCAGCTGGTTGAGCTTCATAAGGCAGCCTTCCATAACCTTCAGCGGAACACAAGAAACAGAAAAACAAAAATGGTTAGAGGATCGTGACTGAGGTTTAGATGTTTACCAGGTAATTCAAACTGAAGAGAACTTAGTGACTGTCATTACTCTCCATATTTACCAGCTGTATTTCCAGCGTTGCCAAGGCCAAGTAGTTGTCCACCATTGGGGAACCCTTCATATCCTGGCATAGATGGAAAGAAAACTTTTTAAAACGACCACAACCTTTTTACGGGAAGCCTTTTCACAGCTAAGTGTAAATTTTGAATTTATTTTCCTCAGTCTCCAGGTATAGGATCCATGTGTAAGTTAGCACTAACAGTACCAGTAAGTGTGTTGAATTTATATAATTCAGAGGATGTTCTGAATCGCAGGAATGATGAAGAGAAACTGGAGCCTGAGCTAAATTTCAAGTGTTTTTGCAGAAGGTCCAAATACTTACGTAAATCAAATCCTAAAATCTGGTGAGTGTATGTTTTAAAGACTGCTTAAAAGAAATATGTTCTCACCATATTTTCCAAATGGCTTTCTGTCACCTGCAGCACCATAGGGGCTAAATCCATAACCTGGAAAAAATGGGACAAGTGTGGTTATACTTCCTCTTTGTTGAGCACAGTTTCAGCCAAGCCACAGCACGGTGACAGACGTACCATATTTTCCTGCACGATTAATTCCCGTACCAACAGGCTGCCCAGAAAACTGCAGCCCACCGATGCCAATACCTGAATCAGAGCAAGCAGAACATGTGATCAGATGGGACATAAGTAATGAGAGACAAATACTGTTGAAGGTTGAAGGTTGTGCATTGCAGAAAGGCACAATGTTATTAGATATAAACTCAAAGATGTGTGCTTTCTTTTTTCCCCCTTTCCCAGCACCCAGTTTCTGTCCACCAAGGGCAAATTCACTCATTCCTATAACAACAGGAAAAACTCTGCTGTTTATAGGTCTCTAAAATTTATTTTTTTGTGGATTTTAAACAAAGATTAGTTTTATTTTGTTAAAATAAAATACATGTGAACATGTTAAGTTTTACTAGGTACCATATGTATTGCCTAATTTTCCATTTGGACCAAGACCTGCCGACTGATGCTCAAACTGACTCATCCCTGCACAAATGCATGAAAAATATTTCAATTTCAATCAAAGTTTTACTCCACGGGAGAAAGGAGACTTCTTCTCTGTCTGACATTCTGCTCACACGTGCTAGATCAGTTTTTCCCATGGCGACATGGTCTTACCATCTACTCCAGCAGCAACCACTGGAGCTCCATTGTATGGAATCTGTCCTGTGTTACCTGTCCAATCAGCATCACTGGAATATATTTACCTTTTGTGTCATATTTACCTAATATACTTCACGATTATCTTATATTTAGCTATAACTATCTACCCACCCTCATTACCATACCTGATTTGCCATCAGGAACAGGCACAACTTGTCCAATGCCTGGAAACACAGAGAAATGTTGCCGTTTACACAAAAATTAACTGCTGCAAAACAACATTTCTCAACTAAATGTCATAAAATGCTCTTACTTGCATAGTCAGGCTGTAAACCTGCACCGTAGCCATTTGCATAACCTGCAGCAAAACATAAACTATGTTAACTGTTAACTATGTTAACTGTTAATATCCAACAATGGCAGTCAAAATATGGCCCAACAGTTCCAGAGAGAAACAGCAATTTCAGTAAAATTACAATGGCAGATTTTTAAAGATGCAAACTTCCTTACCCCTAACTACTCATCATCTTACACACTGATACAATGCCCTAAATCTAACGTGTTTCCATTTAAAAGTTCACCTCCAAAAGTATGTCCGTTCCTATATTCACCTCCAAGGTAGCCTCCTCGTCCAAAACCTGAGTGAATACAGGAAAAATATCCTCACTTCAGCTGAGAACAAAACCCCCCCAAAACAAATACTCCAAATCCTACACAAATCAGATTTTACTTTAAAAATTACATCAAAATTTTTCTGTTTGTGATCAAGACATTTACTGCTAGCAAATATTACCTGCTCCGTATCCATTGCCAAGTCCAGGGAACATTTGGCTTCCTGCAATAAAACCTTTTGGAAAAAGAAGATTCAAATTCTGTGTGTGTGTGTGTGTACGCCAAGGAAGAAAACACATTCATGTAAATGAGGAATTACAAAATAAACGCCTTGAAAATAAAGCTACGATTCCTGACATTGTTTTGTGAAACTAAAAACTAAGATCACTGTTAACAGATTTAACCTGTTAAAGCCTGACCCATGCAATAATTGTCAAAAAATGTTGACAGTTAAATTTCCTTTTTGAGCATCTGCTCCTGCTTCATAACCTCAAAGCAACTTCAAGAAATCAATATGAACAACAAGCAAAAATAATGCTATACCTGTGCAAAATGGTCTTATTATTATTATATATTATTAGACATACCTTTGGTGTTTGTGCCCATAGATGCTCCAGCACCTGTGTTATAATCTGAAATGACATCAGAAACCAAAGTTAAGACTTGTTTTCACTCCCTTTAATATTTTGACTTTTTTATTTATGAGTGAAGAGATTGCTGTAACAATTTAATTTCCTTTTGCCATACGTTTCACATGGAGAAACAGTGGAAATTTTAGCAAACATTTTAGCAAACAGAGAGCTTTAAATATAGTGCATGATAATCATATTAAGACACACTGGTACTATAGTAAGAGACTCTCAGTTTACCAGGTCTAGGGATTTTCATCCATTGCCCATTTGGTACTCCTGATGGTCCACAGTCTGTAACAGCATGTAGTATCATAAGCACAACAACCACCACACATATATGAACTTTAGACTTGAGGAATCTACCAAACAGGCAGACTTTGTGTTCGTAAAAGAGGATCAGTAGTAACACCAGCAGCTTAAATGACTGCTAAATGTAATCACGTTGGTGATTATTATTATTGATTGGTAACTGATTATATTATTATTATTATTACAGTTTACAGTTTATTAAACACTGATGTCTTTCAGTGCCTCATTGAACCTCTAACATGAGGAATTAAGGCAGTTCTGACAGAGCTGGAAGCTTTCTTTTTGTTACTCAAAGAAAAGAGAGAAATGTTTACCATGTTTGGTTGGTTTAGCTCCTTGACCCTTGGAGACTGAAGCTCTTCCACTCTCTGAAAAAAGGAAACCAAAAGGTCAGGGTGTGATTGGCGTTGCTCCATCTACAGTCACTCTTTCAGGTGTTGCGGCATCAACAGTTAGCAGTGGAAAAAAAAAATCAGATTAGTGGGTTAAACTTGCAATTCAACTCATGCACTGAATATGCTGTAATTAAATTCGTAACAAAAGTTAAAATATCACAAAACACCCTTTAATCTAAATGACATATTTTATATTGGTGAACTTTTCAGTCATGTACTTCCAAACAATAAAAGCATATATTGTATATTTGTATATGTATATTTGCTCCTGTAGCTGTACAGCTAGTTAAAATTAGCTTAGCATAAAGTCCAGAAATATAGCCTAACAGCTAATCAAAGGAACTAAAACCCACTAATCCTCACCAGCATGTCACACCTCAGCAGAAAGCTTTCAGTTGTAGCAAAACAGGTTTTTATTAAAAGTTGAATTAGGCGCACCGCCTGTCTTTCGATTTACCTCTGGGAGCAGTGATAATATCAATAAAGCAAATAAACAAATTTCCCAAAACATTACTTTAAAACCATTAGATATCAATTTTTAGGTGAGGGGTTTGGCATTAAAAAGAGAAAAAGTCCAAACAAAAAGGTTGGTAATTTTTTGAAGTCAGCACTGAAGAAAACATGCAACACAACAACAATCATTTTTGAAACAGAACCAGGACCAGCAGCAACGATTCACTCTCAAACAAACGACTGGCATTTGTGCGTTTGTCACCTTGAGGGGTCTGGATGGTCTGTTAATGTTCATTGAGCCTAGTTTGAATTCAACTACTAACATGGTACAGAGTGAACAGTGCGGTCAACCCTGTGAGATCATAACAGCTATGATATCATCAGAATACTGAGAGTTAGGAAAAAACACAGCATTCATTAAACATCTACGCATGCATTCCACGTCTAGTAATCACACCCACTTAGTTTGAGACTTAGTTTACCCGTTGCCCCAGTTTCCCCTGCAGGGTGACCTTTGACCCCGGGGTTATCAATCTCTGCCTCAGCCTCATGTTTGATGTTGGCTTCTTCTGGTGCGACTTCAGGCACAACAACAGTCGCTGTTTCCCGAGTGGCGGCGGTGGTTTCTGTAATTTGAGCTGCCTCTGTTTCGGGAACAGCTTTGGTGCTTTCAGGGGCAGCGTTCCCCTCACCGGTGCTGTCTACCCCCAAAATAACCTCTGCCTCTGCAGCTTTTTGCTCAGGCACAGCGCTCCCAGTCATATAACCTAGAGGTCATAAATGTCATCAGCATTTATGCAGATTAATTGACTAAACCTGCGACAATGAGCTTATCGTTTGTAGTGTAGAAAATGTCGAATGTTTTTGTGCATCCACAGTGTGTGTAAACTAATGCAAACCAAACTAAGTTATAAAAACTTTTTGTTACTCAGTTTTGTTAACCATAATGAAACTTCCAGTTCCATGAAGAAGGTCACTTGCAGTTCCAGTAATAACAGCGATAACTTTGATAAGATTTCCCCTGAAGTTAAAGTACTACATTTATACATCTTCTTTTCTCTCTCTCATTAGAGTCACCACAGCGATATGTAATATGACATATTGGTGCTAGCTTTAACCCTGGTAATGGTACTTGCCTTCTGGATAGACAGCTGCTGGGCCTGGTGCTGGTTTACTCTGGGAAACCCCCTGTGGAGGTCTGGCTATGGGGACCTTCTCTCCCTTGATCTGTGGACCTGTGGTTGAAGACTTTGAGTGTTTGGCAGGAAGTGCTGGGGCTGGTTCTGGTGAAACCTGAAGGACCAGCGGTGTCTGCTTGTAGTTTTTTTCTTGTGGCAAAGGGGAAACAAGCTTTTGGTATTTCTCTTTTGACACCTCAGCATGGACACCACCTGTCGGGGAAAAAGGCACTGCACCACGAGTTATTGCTTGTCGGAGGGAAAGGCCCTCCAGCGGTGCTACACTTGGCTGCTCAGGAGAAAGAACTCCACCTTTGAGGCTCTTTCCACTGAATTCACCGGCACCCTTTCCATCTTGGCCTTTTGTATTCGGCAGCATGTTGTAACCTTAAAAAAAAAAAAAAAAATTTTAAACCCTAACAGTCAGATGAGCCCCAGTGATCAAACACTTGGCGACAGTGGGAAGGAAAAACTCCCTTTTAACAGGAAGAAACCTCCAAGACCATAAATTAAAATGTACAAATGTTCAAATGTACACACCCAGCATTTGTCTGCTTAAGTTTACAGAAGCATTTTTGTAGTGCTATCTAATGATATGGGATCTCAACCTTGCACCGAACACATGCATAGGAGCATTTACCTGCATTGGCTGCTTTAGGCAACTGCCCTTTAGTTACACCAGCAGGACCACCATATCCTGTTTAAACAGTGCAGACATTAGAAACACATGAGGGGCCATCAACAGATGCAAAAAGAAAAAAACAATTGATTGTCCACAACTCAGTTGTTTGGTTCCCAAATGCTGTATGTGTTCTGCAGAATTCGTACCACTGTCGAGTGTTTTCACGCCTTCACTTGGTGCTCCAAGTCCTTTAGTAGTTTTCTGAGGTTTTGACCCTCCGTACCCTGCAGACAGCATCAGAATCAGAACAGCATTGAAGCTTGGGCCTAGCTGCTGGAGTTTCAAGTATGAATTTGCCATCTCATAACTCAAACTTACCGTACGGGTTTCCTCTGTATCCACCCAGTGCACCATTTCTAACTCCGTGACCTAGTGCGGAATTGAATAATAATTTCTCGAGGCGGATTTTTATGTTTAAAAATGACAATTTTGACGTGAATAGAAATTAGCAAATGATAAACAATAAAGAGTAGATTGTCACCATTGGGTTTGGCTGTGTATCCTTTGAGTGCATTAACTCCAGGCCCTGCCGCAGCTCCATAACCTTAGTCAAACATGAGGTTATATAAATACACCAATGGCATTAAACCAGAAACATTTACTATAGAGCACCAGAACAGAAAATAGTAATTGGTTACCACTGGGTTTGGGTCCATATCCATTGGCAGCAGGTCCTTTCCCATAACCTTGAGATCAAAAAACTCCTTAAAGAAACTTCAAAACTTAATTTAACCTTGTAAAGCCTGAAACAGGAAATGACTGCCAGGCAATTAAACGTTTTTGAAACTGGGATGTTTACTGAACATTCTGACAAGTTGAAAGTAAAGAAAAGAAACTATATGAGTTTTAATCTTTATGATTTTAAGTAAATCTGACATTTTTGTGTAATTTATTCAGGTTTTTCAGGGTAAAATAATCACAGATTTTTCAGAAGCAACAAAAACCCATGTGTAAGGTATGATATAATTAGCCTTACAGAGTTAACCACATTTATTTTGTGATGTGCGTACAACACAAGTATTACCTGGTGGTGGTCTTACTGCACCTCCTCTGTAGCCTCCATATCCTGTCAAATGTTCATAAAAGGAATATTAGTAATGTTCAAATTGATATTTAAGATGTGCATCAACGTTTTGAATCGTAAATTGAAATCTGAAAAAGAAGGAATGGTCTCACCGTTGGATTTGGCACCATACCCGTATGGAACATTTCCGAAGACTAAAGAAATACACAGGAGAAAAATGACAGTTGTTCTGAAACACTAGCCATGTTTCACTCATAGATCCTTTCATTCAAGTTAAAGCTAAAGATTTTTTTTTTTGCACCTGGATCAAAATAGTCAGAAACCAATCCCCCTCTCTATAAAGTATTTGGGAAATATGGGGTGGGTAATTTCACATTTTTGATTTGGTAGAAAAAGAGATTAGTACTCCCTGCAAACCAGGGGCCTTCTTTTTGTTAGACGAATGTGTAAACCACTACACAATGCCAGCCTATGCACACATGAGTGTAAAAAAACATAATATTTGAGGAAGAATAGCATCGTTGGCAATTGATAGCTTGATGCTAATGGCATGGAAAAGTTTTCTACCCTGTTTGAAAATCCTGTTGTTGTTTAGCATAAGTCACCTTTAAGAATAAAGCTTGATACTTATCTTGACACTGACTTAGGTTGAAATATAACATTTTATTGTGGATGCACAGTTACCTGGCTTTGCAGACTTGGGAGCTCCACCATTCTGGGATCCATAACCTTAATAGTTTCACAAGCAGAAATTCAATATTTAACTTCCATGTGGCAATAATATTTATTTGTCCATGTTAACCTACCATTTGACATGGCTCCATTGCTGAAAGGTGCTCTGGCCCCAGCATAACCTTTACAATGATGAATAACAGTGATGAATAATGAATAATGAATTTTATTTTATAGCTTTTGATTTATACACCAATATTCACTCTGTGATCTTTACCGTTGGGTTTTGCTCCTTGTCCATTGGAAGCACCAGCTGCTGCACCATAGCCTACAGTTTCAACATTGCAACATGAGTTCATTTATGTTGAGTGTATAGATGAAGACATAAAGTTGAAAAGCAGAGAAGCATGTTGTTATTGTCCTACCTGGCTTTGGTCCCTTCATCCACCCATTCCCATACCGATGCCCCAGACCCAAACCAGCACTGCCATAACCAACATTGTAACCTAAAAACACAGATAACCAGTACATTAGCCAAACACACCTGTAGGACTGAGCGTGTGACATCTATATGACTCACCTGCCATGGGCTGAGCTCCATAACCTTTATAACTTCCAGCAAACTGAGGCATTCCCAGACCTTTGAAGGTTCGCTTACCCGGTCCTTTATTCATGTAGATATACCAATGTTACATCACCGTTTTCACCTTTGTGGACAACAAAGCAACTGAAGTTGCATTACCTGCCCCATAAGGTGGTCGGCCATATCCTTTCATAGGTTTACTTCCAGCTCCTCCTTGGCCTGTTAAATATTTTGAGTATTTAACATATATGTGTGCTTTTAAAAGTCAAAGAGTCCAGCTGCCTGCTCCCAAATGACCCATTTACTTTCTTACCATTTGGTTGTGTCCCATAGCCAGTCGATGGACCAGCTACAGCTCCTTGACCTAAAGAGTGATGATAATATACAAAATTGTAAAACTATTTAATTTCCTTTTTTTAATCTTCATGCATTGAACTTCATGTTTTGCAAACAATACCTTTGGTGTTAGGCACATTTCCAGTAGAACCAGCACCATAACCTGCAACAGATGTGAGGTTCTTAATTTAATTAACACCTTAATCATGACCCCTCCCAGTTTTAAAACATTGTTATGTTTTTATAATTCGCAACCAGGTTCTTCACTAACGCCAAATACACACCAAAAACACTAACCACCGATAAAAACATAAAGAAAATATAGTTATGTTAAAAAAGAAAAATTCACATGATTCTGTACAGTCCTGAAAAACTAAAAACACCCTTTCTGCAGGTTCTGCAGCAAATGTGAGCAGCACTCTAAAAATTTTGACAGTTTGTTGCTCTGGAGCATTCATGTGTGTGTAGACACAACTCAACATCTTCCTGTTCCACCAAATTCACCTCAAAATGAGATCATGCAATGCTCAGAGAATCTGCAGAAAACCCAAGAGCTGCTTCTCAGACTCTGCATCTCTCAGTTAGCATGTTCGATTTTGAAGTTCATGACGTGATGATGATTTCGATTTTGATCCCCAGGACACCAACCAATCTGCAACAGCATGGTCCATACCCCAACCCGATTGAAATGCTCTCATAAGATCTTAAGAGAGCTTTGAATAAACACAAATACCCTCAAATCTCAAAGAACAAAAGTGACATAAGGAGGACCAAAATTCCTCCACAAAGATGTGAGAGACTTCATAGAGTTTATAGCTGCTAGAGGCAGTTCTACAAACTACTGAATCATGGGGTGTTTTGAGTTTTGAGGACTGTGAAGTGAGAGTCCTTTTTCATATAACTGTCTTACCATTGCCTTTTGTTCCATGTGCAGCAGCTGCATTACCTACAAATAAGCAACACAACAGATTCAGAAACCTTTTTAGTCCCAGTATCATCATCTTGCTCGTTATTCTGCCACATAGCCACCACAAGAAGGCTTTAATAATCAAGACAATAGCATAAATGGAAACTATGCTAGTTTTATTAAAGTAGAGCAGTGCTGTTGTATTGGTTTACATGTTCGTTACCATTGCCTTTAGGTCCTTGCCATCCATATCTGCCATCCTGAGCACCATAGCCTGCAAAAAGAACAAAGTTAAAATCGAATGTAATTTAGTGTAGATGTGTGAGGCCTTAGTTATAAAACATGTGTTATAGCACCTTTAGTTTGTTGTCCATTGGTGGGACTGGCTTTAACAGGATATCCTGCAACAAAAAAATTCACACAGTGATTTTTATCGTGCCATTGATCATTAAGTGGATTTTAAAAGTGGAGAAATGTCTACCATTGGAGTTATCTCCATTTTGGTGGGATAAAACTGCAGGATATCCCCCTGAATTAGAAACACAGTGCCAACAGAGATCCAATGTTAGAACAAATGACTGATTCTGAGATGTAACATAACCACTGAATGTGCTTCAGTACCGGCATCAGAGAAAAATCTGTTGTAGGAATATGAGTAACCATCAGCAGAAAGATTTGGTAAATGTACACAGTAGGTGTATGGGCACAGATTTACTGTTTGCATCTGTAACCTCAGTAACAGAAATGAAACTGTGTTATCACTGACCGACTCCTTTTGTAGGATAGCCAGCATATCCAGTTCTTGGCCCCATTGCCCGGCCCACACCTTACAAAAAGAGTAAAGAGGACATAAATCTCAAAATCAGGCAAACAGTTCACTTTCATGGTTTTTGAATCTGTGAAGATAATTTACCTTTTGATGGCATCAGCACTGCTCCTACACCTCCACCATTCTGCGGTGTCCTTCCTAGAAATAAAAAGTGTGAGCCGGTGAACAAAAGCTTGTGACTTACATGGACATAATGCAACAAAGGTGACACAAAATGGACAGGATGTGATGGACTCACCGTTAGGCTGTGGAAGTTGTCCATTATGTACTCCAGCCACAGCACCGTAACCTTAAACACAAGACGCTGAGTGTAAGACTACCAGTTTAAAATTAATAATAGTAAGAAAAACATTTGGATTAGCAAAAATATCCTCTGAACACACCAATTTTTAACCCACTAATACAAAGCATTGGTCTCAGCCATTTATTTTGCAATGTCGGACTCTGTAGTTTTCTCTGGTCCCCTCCCCAATCAGACCAGGAGTGACATGTTTAGCCGCATGTTCTCCTTAAATTGCTGGCTGTCTGAGTGGTGTCCCAGAAACGATGTGGGCTTCATAGATAATTGGCAAACCTTCTGGAGGAAACCTGGTCTTGGATGGAGCAGCTCTCATTTCTAGAAATATGGACAAATTTATTAAACCCCCCCAAATATGACTACCCAGAGTTGGGACCAGGAAGCAGAGTTGCAGTCTTACACGCCTCTCTGCAGCTTCTCTCCTCCTGCTACCCCCCCAAAAACCCATCTCCATAGAGACTGTGTCAGCTCCCAAACAGACAAAAAACAAACTAAAAACCAGCAACAAACAACTTAAACATAAAAAATCACAAGAAAGAACAATACAGTATCCACATCTGAACCAAAGAGTAAAACAGTGAAATGTGGATTATTAAATATTAGGTCTCTCTCCTCCAAGTCTCTGTTAGTACATGACTTAATAATTGACCAACAAATCGATTTACTCTGCCTTACAGAAACCTGGTTGCAGCAGGATGATTATGTTAGTTTAAATGAATCAACACCCCCGAGTCATTCTAACTACCAGAAACCTCGAAGCCCAGGCCGAGGGGGCGGTGTGGCAGCAATTTTTCACACCAGCCTATTAATTAATGAAAGACCAAGACAGACTTTTAATTCATTTGAAAGCCTGATGCTTAGCCTCGTCCACCCCAGCTGTGAAACTCTTACTCTTACTTGTTATCATATTGTATCGTCCACCTGGGCCTTACACAGAGTTTCTCTCTGATTTCTCAGACTTTATATCTAATTTAGTTCTCAGCTCAGATAAAATAATTATTGTGGGTGATTTTAACATCCATGTAGATGCTAAAATTGACAGCCTCAACATGGCATTTAATCTGTTATTAGACTCAATTGGCTTCTCTCAAAATGTAAAAGAACCCACCCACCACTTTAATCACACTCTAGATCTTGTTTTAACATACGGCATGGAAACTGAACATTTAACAGTGTTTCCTGAAAACCCTCTCCTGTCTGATCATTTCCTGATAACATTTACATTTACAATAATTGATTACTATTTGTCATCCTACAGCTCTTACCCACTATATTTTCTGCCAACATTTCCAAAGCTGAGTGTTTCTTCTTCACTCACTATGTGTTGATAGACCTCTCTCCGTTTAATCATTAGTTATTATTAATCTCTGGCTCCCAAACCAATCACAGCAGATGGCCCCGCCCCTCCCTGAGCCTGGTTCTGCTGGAGGTTTCTTCCTGTTAAAAGGGAGTTTTTCCTTCCCACTGTCGCCAGAGTGCTTGCTCATAGGGGGTCATATGATTGTTGGACTTTTCTCTGTATCTACTGTACATATATGTACAATATAAAGCGCCTTGAGGCGACTTTTGTTGTGATTTGGCGCTATATAAATAAAATTGAATTGAATTGAATATTTTGCATCCTTAAAGTGTTTCAGATAAAGTTAAGACTACAAATTCAGATGAAGCACACTCCAATTAAAACAAAATAAAACCAAGAAAGTTTCCATCTTTCATCACTATCATGGTCACCGCATTGATGATAACTTAAAGAAAGGAATCGAAAACATCACAGAAGATATCTGGCAATGGTGTTATATAAAACAAACATAACTCTGACAAGTGAAGCGATTAGACAATACATTTTTACCCTGTTATATAATCGGTAAAATCATCTTGGAGTCTATGTAATGTAAGTAACATTAAGAAATTAGTATTTTCCATGTTTTTAAAGAGTGGGTTGTTTTTCCACAGCATGACAGATTTTAATTTTTATGACCCTGATGAAGGCCACAAGCCCAAACGCATTGGTCAGTTAATAAAGTTGTTCCTCTTTATTAACTTGCCAGCGCATTTTCGGCTAAATGTTGCTAGAGTTCCTGCGTTGTAAGTGCCAGAAATCTTTGCTGCAGATTTTAATTTTTAATCAAATCATTTTTCATTTGCTTCAGAAAAGTTCACATTCAGTTACATTAGATGTTTTAGTGTTTATAGTAAAAATGTGTAATTCCACTTAGATGCTGTTAGTTAAAAGTATTTTTATGCTTTTAGTTGCTTTTGTTCACATATTAAATTAGCGTCCTCCTTTAATTTGCGTATAAGGATCCAAAATAACAACAAAAATGTTTAGATGTCTTCCCTTGTTCACTTTTATTTGATTTGCAGTTTAGCCCCTCTACAAAAGAACGGAGAACCGACTGTGTCAGAGGTAAAACTATTCTCTTACTTTCTCACAGAGGGATGTTAAATTTAGACCGCCGCTGCCACAGCAGCTTTGATTTCACAAACCGAGTCTGCGAGTAAAGACAAAACTAAATACACAGCTCCCTCACATCATCACAAGGATACTTGGTAGAGGGTCGACCAGACGAAAGAGATTTACGGCTCATCTTGCTCAGATTTTGGTTTAACACGATTGTTAGAAATTTGGCAGGCAAGCCCGACTAACATAACCGACTTTATGTTATTTCAGGACTCCTCGGAGTCCGGATAACTTGATTCCTGAGGTTTTTGGGAGTGCAGCCAGGATATTTTGAGAGTCTTGCAGAAAACATAACCACATGTACACTTTTATTTATTCTGAAAGAATTGAAAAAATGTCTTTCCTGCATTTCCTTCTCACATCGTTAAAGGAAATCTTAAATTCTCTAACTGATTTTGTATTAAATTGAAACATATGGCATGGTTTCACTGTCATTTTGAATCCAGCCCTCAAAGGGTTGATGTTTATACAATACAATACAACTTTATTTATACAGTGGGGCAAAAAAGTATTTAGTCAGCCACCGATTGTGCAAGTTCCCCCACCTAAAATGATGACAGAGGTCAGTAATTTGCACCAGAGGTACACTTCAACTGTGAGAGACAGAATGTGAAAGAAAAATCCATGAATTCACATGGTAGGATTTGTAAAGAATTTATTCGTAAATCAGGGTGGAAAATAAGTATTTGGTCACCTCAAACAAGGAAAATCTCTGGCTCTCACAGACCTGTAACGTCTTCTGTAAGACGCTTTTCTGTCCCCCACTCGTTACCTGTATGAATGGCACCTGTTTGAACTCATCATCTGTATAAAAGACACCTGTCCACAGCCTCAAACAGTCAGACTCCAAGCTCCGCCATGGCCAAGACCAAAGAGCTTTCGAAACACACCAGGAAAAGTATTGTAGACCTGCACCAGACTGGGAAGAGTGAATCTACAATAGGCAAGCAGCTTGGTGTGAAAAAATCAACTGTGGGAGCAATCGTCAGAAAATGGAAGACATACAAGACCACTGATAATCTCCCTCGATCTGGGGCTCCACGCAAGATCTCATCCCGTGGGGTCAAAATGATCATGAGAACGGTGAGCAAAGATCCCAGAACCACACGGGGGGACCTGGTGAATGACCTGCAGAGAGCTGGGACCAAAGTAACAAAGGTCACCATCAGTAACACACTACAACGGCAGGGAATCAAATCCCGCAGTGCCAGACGTGTTCCGCTGCTGAAGCCAGTGCATGTCCAGGCCCGTCTGAAGTTTGCCAGAGAGCACATGGATGATACAGCAGAGGATTGGGAGAATGTCATGTGGTCAGATGAAACCAAAGTAGAACTTTTTGGTATAAACTCAACTCGTCGTGTTTGGAGGAAGAAGAATACTGAGTTGCATCCCAAGAACACCATACCTACTGTGAAGCATGGGGGTGGAAACATCATGCTATGGGGCTGTTTTTCTGTCAAGGGGACAGGACGACTGATCCGTGTTAAGGACAGAATGAATGGGGCCATGTATCGTGAGATTTTGAGCCAAAACCTCCTTCCATCAGTGAGAACTTTGAAGATGAAACGAGGCTGGGTCTTCCAACATGACAATGATCCAAAACACACCGCCCGGGCAACAAAGGAGTGGCTCCGTAAGAAGCATTTGGAGTGGCCTAGCCAGTCTCCAGACCTCAACCCCATAGAAAATCTGTGGCAGGAGTTGAAAGTCCGTGTTGCTCGGCGACAGCCCCAAAACATCACTGCTCTCGAGAAGATCTGCATGGAGGAATGGGCCAAAATACCAGCTACTGTGTGTGCAAACCTGGTAAAGACCTATAGTAAACGTTTGACCTCTGTTATTGCCAACAAAGGTTATGTTACAAAGTATTGAGTTGTATTTTTGTTATTGACCAAATACTTATTTTCCACCCTGATTTACGAATAAATTCTTTACAAATCCTACCATGTGGATTCATGGATTTTTTTTTCACATTCTGTCTCTCACAGTTGAAGTGTACCTCTGGTGCAAATTACTGACCTCTGTCATCATTTTAGGTGGGGGAACTTGCACAATCGGTGGCTGACTAAATACTTTTTTTGCCCCACTGTATAGCACATTTAAAGACCACAGGTACACCAAAGTGCTTCTCAATAATACAATAATATGAAATAAAATTAAAATTACATAAGGATGCGATAGCAAAGTGCAAAATACACTACCAGATAACACAGAGCACTTTAATCGGCAATGCTAAGTTAAATAAATAAGTTAACAAACGTAATTTAAAGGATTGAATAAATTCAAACATGCGAATATCAACTGGAAGATTATTCCGGTAATACAATAATATAGGTTAAAATTACATATAGGTTCAATTGCAAAGTACAAGGAATATGGTTTCCACTGACCATGGAAACAAACTACACAGTGTATGTAAATAAAGACTTTTAACATGGATGTTTCATTCATTAAGATCCGATGTTTCTTTTAGGTGTTCAGTCTATGTTTTACTCATGCAGAGACACGGCAGTTAAGGAACAGATACAGTTACAGGTACGGTTCATCTATAGCAACAGAGCGAGTGCATTTTCCAGTATTGTTCTAAGAGCTGCAGTTTCCTGTTGGTGAAAGGAGACTTGTCTTAAAGCTTTACTGCCATGTCATTGACTGCAAAGCCAAATTCTAGATTTAGGAAGAAGTAATTTAATTAAACCAAAATTAGGAATAAATATTCTGATTGTCAGGTTTTTACTTTCAAACTAAATTTCCTTCTTTGATATCAGGAAATATGGACGTCAGGTGCAGGAAAGGAAATGATGGAATACAAACTGAGACATATCGGATGTACAGACACAGAGCGGCTCCTCTGTGCCAGTTACATCATCCTTGGCCATATACCAGCTCATAACTCAATCCCAGTTTTCCTCACACTAAACTACACCCCTGGAAATTTTCCAGCGACTACACTTACTCTGGCTATTTCCTGCAGCCTATATTCATTTACATTTATCCTAACATGGTTTACCTGTAAAACAATTTGGTGACTGTATTTTGAATTGTTACAACTAACACATGGCAAAAACAGACACACACAAATAAATGTAAATCAAGCGTTAAACATCCAAACGAGATGTTATCAGATAATCTGCGCTTCAGCACACTCACCCTCTGTGTGTGCTGCCTGCACCAGCCAAAGGATCACTGCACTGTGAAGAAGAAGTTGTCCCATCATGCTCGACCTAAAAGACAATGTTTTTGAGACCCAACGAGAGGATGAAGACGGTGAAGCAGATGTTCGGAAGTGGGGAACCTAACCTGATTACGAGGGCCTAATATACACTCAGCTCTGAGGCGTCCCTCCTCTCACCAGCTCTGTTTGTGGCAGACCCTCCCCCACTTACTGGCAGATGCACCCGAGGTGTGCACACACTAACCGAATAATTGGCCTCTTAAAGTACATTAACACTTAACAGAGAGAAGCAAAGAGAGGGAGATTACCAGATTGGACATTGACTGATGACCTGTGGAGGGTGCATTACACATACAGGCTGGGCCAGCTGATAGTTTGAAAACTATACGTATACACCATTTTTAAAAGTATAAAGTGAAAGAAAAGAATCAGAAATGATGTATGCAGGAAATTTGAGTAAAGAAACCCTCAGTTTCAGGACAGTGTCGTTTATTTAATACAAACTAAACCAAAATGGAGAAGCAGTGTGTGAAAAACACTGAAAAAAGTACACTGGGAAACGTTTTTGCCTTCATTTGGTTCTTTTTCAGTTATTCTGATGTAGATTTGCTGCTGTAGTTTGGATTATTGTCCTGTTGCTGATCCAATATGAGCCAAGCTGTCAGGCTAATGGACACATTAAACTCTAGAGTACTTTGGTATAAAGAGGAGTTCATGGTTGACTCAGTGACGACAAGGTGCCCAAATCCTGTGGCTGCAAAACAAGCCCAAACCATCACCCCTCCATCACCGTGTCTGACAGTTAATATGTGCTGTTTGTGTTTTTTTCTTTGCCAAACATGTCACTGTGC